TTGGATAACACAAACCTTGGTCTTGAACTCAAGGTCGCAGTAAATGCCATTCTTCTCATTCTTAGCTATGCAGGTATCCCCCAGCTCCAGCACCATCTTGCCGAACAGTATCCCTCGAGCGTACATGTTCGGCATTGTGATGACATATTCTATTCGAAAATTAGATGAATCGACGAGGTGGAGCACCAGCACGTACCTCCGTCTTCCGGTTTGCCGAGCAGTGTGACTCTATTCTCGCCCTCCATTGTTGTACTGACACTGTTACCAAGAAACTTTGATTTGGGACGGAGTTCTCCAAGAATCATGAGGCGATTTTCGGGAGAGATGTAGAAGAAAGCAGATACTGGTGGATGATGTGAAACTTGTTCGGCGATATAGAATCCTTGTGTGTTGTTGGGGTAATCGTATTGACACCGGAAAAATTCACCAAGGACAGGATTGTAAGGTTTCTTGACACCTTTGGGCTTGATGTGCCATCCTGCTAAGTAGTATTGGAGGACTCGAAGAAATCGTTCTTCGGGGTCATCACATTCTTCAGCGCTTTACAGATTACGGATATTAAGCTTATAGTTGTTGACTGCAAATAAATCGAAACGCACCCGAATATGAGGTCTGGATGTGCCATGAAATCTGTAATTCTTTCGAGCATACTCCTTGGTTCCAACACGAAAGTTGGAAAAGTGACACGAGAAAGGTCCATCCCAACTCTGAGGTAGGATCGTCAGCGGATAATACAGCACACGATGATTCAGTAACTCACCTGAGTTGGGAAATCATCGAAGAAATGATGCTTCCTTCATTCTCATCGCTGTCACCACAAAAATCAGTCTTTGAAAGAAACATTGTGCTGCGGAGGATGCTGAGACGAACAGGATCGAAGTATCATCAGGCTCGGTGTCCGACGGAGCCCTGTCATCTTCTGAAGAGCCTCGAGGCTTCGTGTTACTGCCTGCAACATTTCGGAAATGAGAGCCGGCTTGACTGAAGAGACCCATCATGGCAGGAATATGGCCAGCACGAGGTTGTCAAATTCTTTTTGTGCTTGAACTGGATATGTCGAATGGTGATAACTGAAGTAGAAACTCGATAATGGTAGATGTGGTGAAAGAAAAATAAAGATCGATGATGATGAGATGCAGTGTCAGACAGGGGAGTGAAATCCATTCAGCTTTTTTAGCCAAAGCGGCTGATGTCATTACGGGCCGCAATAGAGGATACGGCCCCGTTCATTGCTTATACAAAAAGGTGTGCAAAACGTAATTATTCACAATGAAAACATCACGAAGAGCACGTTTTGTGGTCGTACACATCGGCGAAAGCTCGTCTTTGCATATCAAAGTTCTCCCCTTCAGAAAACAGTCACTGAGCACCGAAAGCGCACGCTCAAATAATCAAAAATGAAAAAGATCATAGACAAGTGTTAGATGCAGATGAGTGTTAATTAGGGCCCCGGAATACCTGATATGTTCGAATGAGGAAGTGTTTTCAACGAAGTCAAAGGATTGATGATTCCCTTCTATACAGAGAATTCATATGAATAAGATTGAAAACGCTCACAGAACTGATTTTTACGGCCGTCATGCGAAACTGAGACGCTTAAAGTAGGTTCGAAGAATTCCTGCATTGATGATGGTACCACGACCTACCACTACACGTACATAACTTGGACCTTTATCCTACTCACTATCAATGGCAAAAGATCCTCGTTTCCCCTTCCGCTTCGATCTACCCAGTCCGAGTTTTGTCAGTATACTTGTGGACCATTTATTTTTCTTTTTACTGATAGGTTCCTGGTAAAAGACAGGCACCGGATATCCTAACTGTTGGTAGGAGGATTCCCACAAGAAATACCATCGTCTTTCGAACCACTTGTTCTATGATACGAGACGTGTCAACGCCAACATTACACAAAATTGTTGTTTCATGACTCACAAAAACGTTTCTTTCTGGGACCATTTTTACTGGCCAAACCCCCGGAAAGCCAAAATCGACCAAATGAGCTTTCTCCTCTTCATCAATGAGGATGTTACCATCTTGAAAGTCGCTAATGTATAGATTGTGAACAAGGTTGATGTTGGCAAATATAGCGGATAAACTCACGAAAAAAGAGGCTTTCCTTCCCGTAGAAGATTATAGATCATTTCCTGAACCTCTTGTTTGAGTGCATCGAGAGCATTCAGCTTTTGCGCTTCATCCAATGTGAACATCCACTTTGAACTTTCCGAGAAATATATTCCTTCAACCTTCTTCATGATAATTACGCCGACGTTTCCTTCCGGCAACGTCGCGAATCCGCTCGTAACTTGTTGTCCAAAAGCTTTGAGCGATTCTATTTCGCAAGATGCTGTTTCATGGCACAGGCCAGTGAGTCTCACCAGTTTCACAACACTATCCTTGAGATTTGGTAGGGTAAAGATACCCTTGTTGTAACTTCCGAAACTTGCGAGGAGCTTACGGTCAGCTACTTCAGTTGTTAGGTTGTTGCCTAGTGCATAGACTGATCATCATGTAGAACGTAAAGGATCAACAGTATTGCACGCACGCATGAAGGTTTCCTCGTTTTTGTCGTACCCGACGCATTTCGAGTTGAAGGAATAATCAATCCAATCCTCATGCTATCGAGGTTTGTGTGAAAAATTTCACTGGAAGATGCATAGCGAAAAAGGGACGTACATGGAGTTGACCAAACCATTCATTCGCGAATTCTTGAGCCGCAGCACCAGCTTCTTTCCTTCTTTCTAGAGAGTGTGTTTCCGAAGAGCGAAGCTGCAGCCTTGGCACCACAGAGTGTCTGAGTGCTGAAGTACCCAAATCAGGATCCGACTGATAAACGCCTCGCTTTGATCTGTCGTAGGGTATGGCACCAGCGGCGAGGAGCAAGGAAGCCCAGAAGATGAGATTCAGGAAGGTAGAACAGAAATGCATCGATAGTTCCTAACAATGGCCTGGAAGAAGAGTTAGGAGGTTCGATGTATATTGGAGCGAATTCTGGCCCGCAGAAATTCTAAGGCGGAAAGGAAGTGAGAAATTAGATGAAAGAGATCGAAAAGTTTGGTGTGTTGGATAGATTGTGGAACGGATTCTGGCCAGCAGAGATTCTAAGGTGATAGATAGGAAAGAAGTGAGGAAAAGGGGCAACTCGGAGTCGAAACAAACAACTCTGAGTACTACCGACGGGTCATTGACCCAGCCTTGAACAGGGTCGGGGCACATAAGCTGAGGGCAAATATGAATAGCGTCAAATTGAACACTCATTTGGGTATACAAGAGTATACTTGTTAGATGCATAGGCATTTTCCTGTACATGCCTACATGGGATGGGCTGTACCTACTGTGGCCCTGTGTGGTCCAGTGAATCCTTAGACCTTAATTCTCACGCGGCGTAGCGGAGTACTCTTAAGCGCCCGACAATTAGCTACTACTGTCTCATCACAACCCTATCCTTGAATTTCCCTATGTAAGTCCTTTCGAAACTGGATAGTAGAATATGAAACAGTTACGTTGCGTATTGTTGTTTTCGAGGTACTTATGTAGCGGCGATTTTGCCTCGGATCTTGTCAAACGAGCATATATATATGTAGGTCGCGCATTGGGGTTCTCCTCGTTCAGGATTCCGTGTCATCAACACTCCTGGTACATTGTTCCTCTTCACCAATTTTTTATCCGTACGATGTTGATTTTATCGTTTACAATCCAGCTGATATTCATCCTTTCTCGCCTTGGAAGGGCAACAATAGATTTTGCTGGTCAAATCTTCTTGTCACTGGATCCAGGCTAGATCATTCTACGGTCAGTAATTTTTGTCGATTGAAGGAGACTCACATGCCAAATACTGTGCGATTCTATAGTGCCGTCTTCCACTCCAGCCTCACGCCTATCTTCAGTCTCCATTGTCATGTTCTTCCGTTGCACTCATCTGTCATTGTCGCCATTCAGTCGACCGTTCGCTATGTATCTCCTGTTCGCCATTGTTCTCCTGAATGCTACTATGCTCGCCCGGCCCAATCCCATACCCGGGATCGTGCCTGAAAATAAAAAACCTACCGGTAAGTCATGAATTCAACTCTTCCATATACCTCACAAAGCTAACAAACACATATCAATTCAACGCATCATAGTACAATATAATGGTCTCAAAATCTGGCTTGGGCGCATTGCCAAGCTTCGACAGAGCAAGGAGTATAATTATACACTGTGGTCTCCGCTCAAAAAGGATGACAAAATTGTCTTATTCATCGGAACCCACGATGGCTTCACAGCGCGCATCAGTCCGGCATCAATACCAGACGATGAAGACTTGATGCCTTGGCTCACAGAGCTTCCAAAAATGGACCTCTCACCGCCCGAATACATGCCTCACGAGGCAGTTTCCAGCAAAGGCCCTTGGGTCAAAATGAAGGCTAGATCTTTGGTGGATCTGAATATCAAGGTCGACTTTGGTTCCTTGAAATCAAAAGAGGAATCGTTCAGCGTCTTTCGCAACGAAAAGGATTTTCTTGAAAAGGTATCTAAAGTGCTCGAGGTGAACGAAGTAAAGGTGGAAAATGAGTGTGACTATTTCGATGTCATGTTGCAATACATGGTGAAGATCGAAGCACTGGATACCACGAAATACGACTTAAATAGGTGGGAGGTGCTGAAAGCCAGGATTAAAGCTGTAAAAGGATATCCTCAAACGGAGGTTCCACCTCCGAACGAAAGAAAAGGTTATACCTTGTCGATTAAAGACATCTGATTGGCTTAGGACAAATTGGAATGGAGGAGAATGGTTTGCTCTGATGGGTCGTTTGTGTAGATGCCCTGACAGTCTATCTATTACTAGCAGTCGCCAGGTAAATTCCTCTCTAGTAACTTCGATATGGACTTTAGTCTAGGTAATTATTAATTTGAAGCCAACCAGGGCTAACTAAAGCCCACATAAATAGTAGAGAGAGCACTGCGGTGCGCCTCCTGCTCTTCGGGCTCATGTGTTTTCCAAAAGAATACTGAGCAAAATTTAATTCCGACACGGGGAATCGAACCCCGGGCTATCGCGAAACACACTTGATGAGAGGCGATAATGTTAGCCACTACACCATATCGGATGATACTATGGGCTCGATTTGGTTACTAGAACTTATAATTGCACCTTGAAACAAATTATCCCACCTCGCATATGCCATGGTCAATCCATTTCCACAGTCCACTACATGGTACTTCTACGTTTTGCCCCGTCGCCCACAGGGCCCCTGCATCTCGGGGGGCTTCGTATGGCGCTGTACAACTACTTATACGCACGGAAATTTGGGGGGAAATGGATTTTGAGGATTGAGGACACGGATACTGTGAGTTTAGACTCTCTTACTCTGCACGTAATACTACTCAGGATTCTCAAGACCCGTTCAGTCCCTGGATCTGTGGAAGGTATCAGAAAGGCTCTCAGCTGGGCTGGGCTGGATTATGACTACGGTGTGTTTATGGTGCTTTTGGAAAGGAGGCTGGCTCAACATATTCAATCTCTATAGGTCCAGAAAAAGAGGGGCCGCATGGACCTTATTTCCAAGTAACACTGTCTCTATTCCTAAAATATCCCGTCTTACACCCTACATCCAGTCAGAACGACGCGACTTGTATCGCTTATATGCGAACAAACTGATAGATGTATGTTCCACCAAATGCTTTCAAGACAGCCATAAAACTTACCCGGAACTCAGAAAGGGCAGGCTTATCGATGTTTCTGCTCTGCAGACGAATTAGCAGACGTGAAAACGCGTCTAGCTCGATCCGGGTCCAACAATACCTACGACAAGAGGTGTCTTCACCTCAGTGACGAGGAAGTTGCGCGGAAAGTGAAAGCTGGGGAGAAGTTTGTTGTGAGGATTAATGTGCGTTGATATTTTTCAAATTTGAGGAATTGCCTTTAACTTTTTACAAAGGACGGAATAATTCCTACGCGTCCTCCAACTCACGATATCGTTTACGGTTATGTGCGAGATGCTCATCTTTCCTTGGCTACAGACCCGGTATTGCTGAAGAGTGACCTATTTCCGACTTACCACCTTGCCTCGGTCGTGGACGATCATGAAATGGGTATCACGCATGTTTTACGAGGAGAGGTGCGCTTGTTGACCGCCCAACTGTCTCACGTTCTCAATTCGAATCCTACTTTTCTTTTCGTTCATTCGATAATTAGGAATGGCTCCCATCGCTGCCCTTACATCTTGACCTATACACCCACCTAAACCTTACTCCACCTCAATTCGCTCATATACCTATTCTATTAAATCCTGACAGGACGAAGATGTCGAAGAGGAGTGGAGATGTACAGGTTGTGGATTACATGGTATCTCAATTTTCAGTTATTTATTCAAAATACTTTCTCATCTTTCTTCTGTCCAGCATCGAGGCTGGGAACCACAAGCTATATTGAATTGGCTCGCTCTCGCAGGCTGGGGTGCTAAACATGAAGCTGCTGCACCCATAACTGATGGGTCCGAAACAGATTCTTCTTTGTCCTCACGACCATCATCACCTCATCGTCTTGAAGACGCACCCGACAGCACTCACCTTATGACAATAGACGAGATGATCTCAGACTTCGATCTCTCTGCACTGACACATCGCAGTTCCGTCCTTGATGGAACTAAGCTCGAATATATTAACAAACATCATTTGATGAGGACTTGGAGCACCCCAGAGGGCTTGGATAAGCTCGCGAACCGAGTACATGGGCATGTCAAGGATGCCTTCAAATCGAGGTTGGTTGTTTTCACTGTTTAAGGGTGATGAAGATCTGTATGACATCCAACAGCCCGTATACTACGGTGGATAATATCAAGAACGCTATCACTTTGCTAGAGGTTCGTGCGTTCATGATCTTTTACCTGGATGCATGATTTTCTCCCAACACAGGGCCGACTAACGAATATCTACGACATCCCTCTCCACGCACCCTACCTCTTCGTCGACCCAGACTTGGCGACGGCGGAGGCTCAAAGCATGATCCGAAAAGTCTCCGCAGACCAACGCATCCAAATACTCGACGTGTTCATCACGCTCATACAAACCAACGGATGGTTTACGTTCCAAGCTGCGTCTCATGAAAGCATCATGGAGAGCTTACATCACGAACGGGAGAAACTTGATGTACATCTCAAGGTGTTTATGAGTGTGTTGAGGCATGCGTTGACTGGGATGAAGGTATGTTGTGCATTTCCATTGTGCTTCTCTCATATGTATCACCTCGCTGACATATACACGCACCCAGGATGGACCAGGCATCATTGATATCGTGCGTGCATTAGGGCATGAACGGACGATTGCAAGGTTAAATGCTGCGAAGGATTTAAAGGATGTGAAGGAGAGTGCAAGTTAAAATAAACCCCGACCGGTAGCTTTCGAGGGACAGCTTCGAAGCTGTCGGGGTATCAACTGAGGATGTATCAGGAATTTGACGTTGAACTACATATAAGTGGTACATAGTTCAAAAAAAAAATAACACACATCTCCATTCAGGAACCTTTTTCGCAGTTCTCGGATCGTATCAGTTTCTGGCCGACCTGTATGAGCTCTGTCTAGGGACCGACTGTGTAGTAAATTACCTTCCTTCCGTGGTGTACGAGCATCTCGGTCGGCACATTGTTCCTCGAGCAGACTGAGGACCAACCCCTGGAACTGAAACACACAGAACATACTTGGGTAACGATTACACACTGGAAGTGGCGCATGTGCATGAGTATACAGAAATAAAATAGATATAGATATAATGGCAATAACTGCAACAAATAGCATGATGACCCCAAAAACTATGCTACAGTGTGTATATACATCGAACTTGAGCCATAAATATACTGGTTATACATATCACAATTTCAGAATTTCATCAGCAGCTCGAACTCTTCCCGTATATCGAGTTCGACAGCTCTCTGCCAAACTCTGGGCTTTGATTTTGAAACCCTCCGCCTCCGCACTGAAACCTGCCACCCGTATTAGAGCCTCTCCGAATTCTGAAGCTTCAACTTTGGGGGCACTGCGATGACTTCCCCATAGCCCAATCCCGAGCCATTCAGCTCGTGTGGCGTAATCGTACGTGTCGTACCATACGGGGAGAATGATCTGAGGAACGCCGGCTCTGCGAAAGCAAACGGATATCAGTTTGTTGTCAAAAAATCCGGGAGGAAAAAACAGAGGCACTCACGACACTGCTTCAAAAAATGAATTCGCGCCTCCATGATGTACGGAGCATATCAGATTTGGATGCTGGAGGATCGCATAGGGTTCCGGTTGGAGCCATTGCACGACCTGAACCCGCCCTCGGACATCTGCGTTGTTTTCAATATATTCATTAAGGACATTCTGGATATCGCCCTCAGGGCGAAGTTTCCACAGTATCTGGATATTAGGGTGACTCTGTAGGAGCGGCAAAAATCCACCTGCGAGTTCTCTAATGGCATAGTGATCAAAAGTAACATGGGAGCCTAGATTGATCAAGACAGTTGGTGCTTGATCTAACCAAGCTGTCAACTCTGGATCAACGATTTGAATGGGAGCTGTGGGAATAACAATAGGTCCACATAGCATGAGGTTGTCAGGAATTAGGACGGGGAAATCAAGCTCGGGAGTAGACGGGCAGAGATATTGGATCTCGGGATCTACAAGAATAGGTGGATGGGATTTGTTATAGATTCTACGTATTTTGTCAGCTTTGTCGACGATTGGGGAAAGTTTAATGCCCGAGATTAACATGAGGTTGATAAACATGTTGGGTATTAGCTTTGGCCATGGCAGGGGGTATGCATATCCAGAAGACAGTCTGTCGAAGTGATGATATCAATTACCAACGACCAACATAATACAGCAAGGAAAGCTTGACATACGCAGGGAACTTCCACAAACCAGCAGCCCATGGCTGTCGGAAGCCAATTATGTCTTTCGGAGAATTCGGTGTGATCACAAAGAACTTCAAACCGAGCTTTTTGCATACATCTTGACCAGCCCGATGGAACCACTCCACCACCACTACCTCCGGTTCAAACTTGTGAACAATATCTTCGATCGTTCTGAGCTGGTCCATGTATTCAGACTCTGTCCACGGAAGCAGCATGCTCGGCGCATAACGAAAGCTATGCAGAGCTTGCTTGACGCCAGGTCCATGCGGTGTATCAAGCCTAGTCATACCAACTGCTTCGATGTGTCCGCGGCCAGGGAGTAGACTGAAAGAAATATCGGACGAATCGTAACCTGCGTCTCGTAGTTGCATCTGCAACTGAGTAACGCGTTTCTCGAGAGCTGCGAAGGACGCGATAGCAACCTTAACACCGGGTCGTATGGCGAGCTCATACGCGAGAGCAAGAACAACATTCGCTTGTCCGTATTCACAATTCGTAGTGAGTAAAATGCGGCGAGACATGAGAACCCTGCAAGAGAGCGAATGAGGGAAAATAATGACTCAGAAGAAACCAACGAGCGAGTTTTTAAAGGTAAGCGCACAGCAGGCGCATACATAACCCATGATTGAGCAGTAGTCTAGTAGAGCTGTATACTGTTCAGGCGTCACATTGCTATATTTGCAGGGTCTTTGGGCTCAGTTGACCTCCGTTCCGAAATATGCGGCGTTGACGATTATATTCGAGCGAGCGTCAAGCCCGCATCATCCTCCTCCTGAGTCATACTTGTCGGTGGTACATTCGGTGTCATGAGGATATGTCGGGGTACAAGTGCAGAGATTCAATGTCTCTTCGAAACGTGTCACTTGCGAGATTTGAATTTTAGACCGACTGTGGGCAAGGGTCCTTCTTCCGAGAGCGGGTATCGACCTAAACGAATTTCAATTTTTGCTAAACATGATGACCTCAAATGCTCTTACCAGTCTGGTTCCAGTCCTCGATCTTCCTGAAACAAGGACCTGTGCTGAGGTTGAGATGCCCGCGATGGGATGATGTCAAGAATGGTCATTCAAAGTTATCATGTCCGAAGACTCTGCATCGGCTACACTCAGACAGCTTGCTGGGGCGTTGCCGATTGGGAAGGAAAGTATTGGGCCTTGTATCAGGGTGTCCCTCGAAGGAATTGAATCCTAACAGACTAACAGTGTGCGAAGGATCAA